GAAAGTATTAGTTCATCTCTATCACGAGATACGAGTATTATTTTGTATTCAAAATGTGTTTTGTCAAATACATTCATTTTGAATGATTTCTAGACTTCGGGATGCAGAAAGTCATAAGACAGGGCTGAACAATAATGGTTAGCTATATTTGAAAAATATGGACTCCCTGATAGAATTTGTATGAGAAATTGGCGTGTAGAAATGGAGTTTTGATTCGATGAATGAAACTGATCCAATTATTGTCAGTAGAGACATCAGTACAGAAATTGAATTGAAGTTGATTTTTTTTGATGATGAGAAAATTCAATTTGAAATTTAAAAATTTCAAATTTTTCTTCCAAGACCATCAATGCCTAATGAGACTATGTCATCAAAATCATAGCGTCATCATTGATTCTGAATGTATTTCTCTTGGCACCAACAATTGGTTTGCTATTGGAATGTCAGTGTTTATGATCTGTTTTGGGTTGTGGATTTCAGCAACATACACAGCATCAGCATAGTTAGCATACTTTCAGGAGATTGAAGGAAATCATTCCGATGAAGAAAAAACTGAAATAATAATAGAAGTGGACGTCATTCATGACATATGGAAAAAGAAAAACTGAATTGCGATAAAAAAGTATTTTGTTGAAAGTGGAATTCAGCTTGCGATGTTCAAAAACTCGAATAGTAGATATTACCTCAAGTTTGCATACGAGTCATGTATATATGGACGCCATATAACTCATTATATGAAAAAATATCGATTGAATTTATCACCTCGGGGATTCAATTGATACTTTATTGGCTTTCAGTGTGAAACTATGATGAAGATAGATTTTGTACTGCAAATGTTTTGGACATCAGTACAGAACTGAAAGTTGAGAAGATATTCAAGTTTTATTGAAACTTTTGTTTCACCTGAATAAAACTTCTGTTTTGTTCGAAGTATCCCTAGAGAAATACTGCCATTCAAAACACTATAGATAACACATGGGCTGAAAATTTACAAAATTAAGAAACAAAAATTGTTTTTGTTCAAAATTGTTTTTATTCACTAACGTAATCTTCATCAATCATTCCGGCGTCGATCTAACATTTCAATACCATTTTTGTAAAACGAAGTATCCCTAGAGAAATATTGCCATTCAAAACACTATAGATAACACATGGGCTGAAAATTTACAAAATTAAGAAACAAAAATTGTTTTTGTTCAAAATTGTCTTTATCCACTAACGTAATCTTCATCAATCATTCTGGCGTCGATCTAACATTTTAATACCATTTTTGTAAAACGATTTATCTTTCGCCTTGAAATTAGCCTGTTTCAGTAACAACCTTTTTTTAGTGGTGTGCATTTCTTTGAGGTCTGCGAACAACCAGTAGTTGCTGGGAGCCAAACCTGGCAAATATGGTGGACGTGGGTGCAATTTAAAGTTCAACATCATCCAGTGCTAAATATTGATTTAGAATTTCATGAACTCAAATATTTGTTTAAAAAATCAAGCATTCAATTGAACTTCAACAAAGCTCCTTATGATAGAATAAATTTGGAACGTGAGCAAATAAATTGGGTCCATTATTTCATGGAGAAAAATCAATTATGTGATAAACTCAAAAGAAAATCTCCAACTTACTTCATGATGGATACTATACACACTATAAATGAAAAAATAAAGTACAGAAAAGATTCAAAAATATGGAGGACAACATCTGTATCAACTTTTTTCTCAATTACGTAATTATTTCAAACGGTTGATTCAAAAGGAATACGATAACTATATAAATAATATCGAAAATGAAATCCTTATTGATTCTAGAAGTTTCTGGAAGTACATAAGAACAAAAAAACAAAGTAATTCGAATATACCTCAGTTAGAATTTTTAGACGATCTGTCAGCAGACTCCGGAGAAGGCATATGTGAATTATTTTCTAAGTATTTTAAGAGTGTATACAGTGTGTCCAAGATAAGGATCCGAAGCATGGGAATCTCAGTACCTGTTGGAGATACAGCTTAGGTTAAATTAGGAAAAAGTTGTGTTCTTTAAAGCTTATTTACATGCTGTTTGGAAACTTGAAGAATTTTCATGGCCTGCTGAGATATTTAGGAAAAACGAGAATTTGACAATATCAATTTTATTTTTTTCTGACTTTATTTGAAAAGATATCAAAAAACGAATAACACTTTTTCATTGGCACTTT